TATCAGCTGCTAATTCATTACTATGAAGCATACGACTATTTATTTACAACTTAAAAAATGGAATAAAAAAAAGAAACAGAACATCTTGGACATAATTTAAAAATCTTTAAGTGAGTCCAAAGGTAATAAAGTATACAAAAATAAAGATATCAGAGGAAATTTTGGCCTCTCATACCAGTTACTAGAGTGAAATCCTACTGCCTAATTCCTAGAAAGATTAAAATGATTGAAAACAGCCTAACTCCTAATAGAGCATTGATTAAAAACTCACTGTTGTTTTAATTTTCATTTTCCTGGTGATAGTGATGAAGAATGCTTTTTATTTTTCATATACCTATTCGATACCTGTATATCTTCTTTAAGGAAGTTTCTGTTTATCTCTTCTATTTTCTTTTGTGGGGGAGGGTGATTTGAGCTACAACGAATACTATTTAAGGATTTCTCCTGGCTCTTTGCTCAGGGATTATATCTGATTGTACTCCAGAGACTATATGTAGTCCTTAGGATCCAACCAGGGCCATCCATGTATGTGCAAGGCAAGAACTTTATCTTCTGTGCTATCTCCTTATCCCACTTCTCCCCAGTTTTTGATAATTAGGTACATTTTCATAAAGAATTCTCCCTATTTTCCTTGATACAATTTATAGATTCAGGTCAGTTAGCAATGAGTTGGTTAAGTTTTGGTGTTTATATATTTTGAATATTAAGCCTTTGCCAGATAAGTAGCTAGTAAATATTTTATTCAAATCTATAAAATCTCTTTCTTTTCTTAGACATCATTTCGTTTGTGGTACAGAAAATAAGTTTGATGTAGTCACATTGTTTATTTTTGTTTCACTTTGCTTAGCCAATGTCACAGTATCATAGAAATTACCTCTAAATTCAATTTTCTAAATGATTCTGCTTATATTTTCTTTGATACGATTTATAGATTCAGGTCAGATATCAAGGTCTTTAATCCATTTAGGATTTAATTTTATGTGAGAAAAGGATCCGAGACTTTTTAAATTTTTCATTCAAGTAACCAGTTATCCCAGCATCATTTGTTCAAGGGATTTTCATTCTCCACTTTATATTCCTAGATCCTTTGTTTAAGATTAGCTGTTCAGGTACAGGAAAGTCTTTCTTTGGGTTTTCAATTCTGTTCCATTGGTTGAGACTTTATCTATAATGAACGTACCACACTGTATTAATTACCATAGTTTTATGCCATAGTTTAAAGCTAGGAAAATAAAATTCTCCTGTCCTAAAATAATTTATTGGTATTTCTATAGGAATTAAATTGAATCAATATAGATTTGGCTAGGATTACAGTTCTGACCGTATTGTTCCTTTCAATCCATAGACAGGGAATGTATTTTATTTTATATAAACACATAACTTTAATATAGAAATATTTAATCTATAAATTACATATAAAATAATATTTTACAGTATATAATATCCTCCCATTGTTCACTGATTTGCTCAAGTGTTCACCAGAGCATGGCAGAGTCTGGCAAGCTACCCATGGTGTATTCGATATGCCAAAAATAGTAACAATAGCGGGTCTCACTCCCCTGACCCTGAAAGAGCCTCCAATACAGGAGAGTTGAAAAGATGAGTAAGGAAAGACTGCTAAAATCTCAGGTCTGGGATGAATGGAGACATTACTGGTGCCCGCTCAAGTAAATAATGAACAATGGGATGACAGTGATACAGTGATCTTAACTGTGACTTACAATTTTCTTTGTATAAGTCTTTTATCTCGTATGTTGATTTCCAGATACTTTTTTAAAAATGAAAACTGTGAATGGGATTAAAATTATTTTCTACCTCATCTTTTATACATAGAAATGCCACTGATTTCTAGTTTTTGACTTTTATGTTGTACGACCACACACCATACTATGCTCAAGGATTAATCCTGGCAGTGCTCAGGGTGGACAGCACCATATGTGGTGATAGGGATAGAATCCAGGTGAGCCAGGCGATGAGCAAGGCAAATGCCTCACTCACTGTCCTTTCTATGTTAATTTTATAGCTTGCCACTACAGTTGGATCATTTCTAGAGGGACTTGGGGGACCATATGTGGTCCAGGGACTGAAAATGGGTCAGCTGTGTAAAAACAAATGCCCTACCTCCTGTACTACAGCTCTGGCCCTAATGTCCAAATTGATTCTTTCTAGAAGTTAATTTTTTAAAAAAATTTTTATGGTTTTCTAAATATCAGATCATGTCACCTACAAATAATGATAGTTTTCCTTTTTTTTCTATTTTGAATGTCCTTAGTATCTAATTGCTATCTAATTAGACATTAGACTTTAATGTCTAATTGCTGTGGCAAGTACTTCCAATTCTATAGCAATTCAAAAGAACATGATTTCACTTCTCACCAGGAGTTTGGCACAGATCAAAAAGAAGATGAAGAAAAAAAAAACAATATTGGCACAAATGTGGGAGGAAAGGAACCTTTATCTATTAGTGGGAATATTGACTGGTTTAACTTCTTTGGAAAACAGTATGACACTTCTCAACAAAACTAAAAATTGAGCTTCCATATGAATAGCAGTTACACTTCTCAGTATTGACCCAATGGCCCCAATACACTATTTCAAAAAGATTATTATGTCTCACTTGCCACAGTATTCACTGTATCACTGTCATCCCTTTGTTCATCGATTTGCTAGAGCAGGCACCAGTAATGTCTCCATTCGTACTAGCCCTGAGATTTTATCAGCCTCGTTTTACTTGTCCTTCCCAACGGTACCGCATTGAAGGCCCTTTCAGGGTTAGGGGAATGAGACCCATTATTGTTACTGTATTTGGTATATCAAATACACCACGCGGAGCTTGCCAGTCTCTGCTACGCGGGCAGGATACTTTCGGTAGCTTGCTGGTTTCCCTAAAACAGAAACCTAGACTATAAGAGGAGACTCTGTGTCGCTCTCTTCTGGGAGCTTTGTTTTATAGTCTCTGGATCTTGGCCGTTGATGTGATTACATGGCCCTGGGGGCAGCTTGTGGGTGTAACTGCCTAGCTACTGGAAAATAGGGGATCTGGGTAAAGGAGGCCCAGTCCTAATCTGAGCAGTCTTGGAGATCTCAGCCCCAGGTCCCACACACCTGTGTTCCTCTGCTGGTTCCTTCATGCGTGAGGCTCGTCTGAGCATGTGGACAGTGGCCTTAAGCATGGCTGTGGCTGGGTTCCAGAGGTCTTCAGCTGCCGGGGCTCTGCTCAGGGAAGAGAGGGAAACTCATGCCACCCCGTTCCGAGGGCCCCAGTGAAGACACTATTTACAGTAAAAAAAATCTTGAAATATCCAAAGTGAAAAGGTGGTTTGGTATACATTTTTGTGTTTAAGATGTAAAACTACCCATGCGTCTATTTGAAAGTGAGATTATGTCAACTATAAATATATAGCTTAAAATTTATGGAAATTATGAATAAAAATCACTGATATGCTGAAAGGAGAAAAAAATGAATCATATAAAATACATAAAATCTATTTTAAAAACCTCCCCAAAATACTAGCAAACTGAATTCAACACTGCCTTAAGCCTGTATGGAGTGGTTCTTGTTCCAGGGATTCCAATACAGTTCAACAGCTGTAACTCAATTTTTGCAATATCATTCATTAATAGAATGAAGCATAAAACCAAATGACATTTCAATGGAAGCAGAAAAAGGGTTTTACAGGGGCCAAAGCAATAGCACAGCGGGTAGGGTGTTTGCCTTGTACGCAGCCCACCTGGGTTCAATCCTCAGTATCCCATATGGTCCTCTGAGCACTGCCAGGAGTCATTCCTGAGTGCAGAGCCAGGAGTAACCCTGAGCACTGCTGGTTGTGGCGCCAAAACAAAACAAAAAAAAGAATAAAACAAAAAGGGTTTTACAAAGGGTGAAATCCGGTCGTTCTCAGGGAATCTCTCAAAGAAGAAATCTGAGTTGCAAAACAGCACATGAGTAAATGCTCTACATCATTAATCACCAGGAAGATGCAGATAAAAAAAAAAAACAATGAGATATCATCTCACACCACAGAGACTGGCCCACATCAAAAAGAACAAAAGCAACTGATGCTGACATGGATGTGGCGAGAAAGGGACCCTCCTTCAATGCTGGTGCGAATGCCGACTGGTTCAGCCCTTTTGGAAAACAGTATGGATGATTCTCAAAATATTAGAATTTGAGCTCCCATTTGACCCAGCAATACCACTCCTGGGAATATATCCCAGAGAGGCAAAAAAGTATAGTCGAAGTGACATCAGCACTTGTATGTTCACTGCAATACTGTTTACAATAACCAGAATCTGGAAAAAACCCGAGTGCCTGAGAACAGATGACTAGTGAAAGAAACTTTGGTACATCTACAAAATGGAGTACTATGTAGCTGTTAGAAAAGATGAAGTCATGAAATTTACATACAAGTGTTACTACATGGAAAGTATCATGCTAAGTGAAATGAGTCAGAAAGAGAGGGACAGACATAGAAAGATTGCATTCATCTGGGGGAATATAAAGTAACAAAATAGGAGACTAACATCCAAGAATAGCTGAGATAAGTACCAGGAGGTATACTCCATGGCTTGGAGGCCAGTTGCACATGCTAGGGGAAAAGGCAGCTCAGATAGAAAAGGGAGCACCAAATAAAGGGTGTTAGGAGAATCCTCCTAGGATGGGAGATGCATGCTGAAAGTAGACTATAGACCAAACATGACTGCCACTCAATGCCTCTTTTGCAAACCACAGCACCCAAAAAGAGAGAGATAACAAAAGGAAATGCCCTGCCACAGCGGCAGGGTGGGATGGAGGGGATGGGGGGTGGGAGGGATACTGTGATCAGTGGTAGTGGAAAATGGGCACTGGTGGAGAGATGGGTACTTGATCATTGTATAATTGAAACCGAAGCACAAAAATTTGTAAGTCTACAACTCTACCTCATGGTGTTTCACTAATAATTTTTTTTAAAAAGGGTTTTACAAAATTCTACATACAATCATGATTAAAACTCTCAACAATACTTACCTGGCAGGGAAGACAGTATTATCACGAAGGTGGTTTTCCCAGGGTAAGGTTTGTCTATATCATTCCGAGTGTGCTGATCCCTGTGAGTTCCCCAAATGTGAAAACTCCCGACTGCATAATTTGTGGTAGTTGGGGGATCTGCTCTCTCAAAAAAAAAAAAAAACTCTCAACAAACTGAATATTGAAAGAACTCAACATAACAAAATTTGTATTTGACAATCACATAATTATCATCATATATTTGTACTAAAATTTTTTCCTCTAGTAGAATAAATCTTGAGAGACTGTTCCTTTTTGGCCCACTTATTTATTTATTTATTTATTTATTTATTTTTAATGTAGAAGTATTGCTATTTATTCAGCCATTAATTAGGCTGATAATTGGACATGAACTCCACCTTACCTTTTTTATTTTTTTTTTATAAATTTACCTATTGAATCACTGTGAGAACAGTTACAAAGATTTTGGGTTTAAGTTTCAGTCATACAATGATGAAACACCTGTCTCTTCACCAATGCCCATTTTTCACCACCAAAAATCCCAGTATATGCCCCATCCCACACACTCCCACTACCTGTCGGGCAGATAGTTTCCACATTACTCTCTCTCTACTTTGATTTCATTCAATATTTCAACCCCAGACCCACCATTATTATTTGGGATTTTACCTCAACACTCAGATCTGCCAAAAAGACAATCATAGACTGTTTGTTTTCTATTATTGATTATGAATAACATATGATGTTGCGTGGTCTCAGTAGTGGCCATGTGATTTTGGAATTCTGAAATTTTAACAATTAAATCTGGAGGGATTTCTACCAAAACTTCCTGGGTTCTGAGATTTGTTCCTGAGAGTCTCTGGGATCATGGCCGTTAAGGAGTTGATCAGGAACCAGAGAGGTCATTCATGGATGGCGACTCGGGATCTCAGTGGGACAGAGAGGAAAGGGCCAGCTCCACCCCCATCCCATGAGGCCCCGCAAGTCTCGTGACTGTGGGTCTAAACCTGACTGCCCAATGGCCTCTGGAGGATGGTGGACACTGAGCTGCCATGGGGAACAGGCCAAGGCATGAAACCTATTCCCACCTGGGATGGCCCAGCGCCAGTAACCTAGTGTGGGGACCAGATGCATTTCTGCCAAAAGCTGCTGGGTTCCGAGGTATGTTTCTGAGTCTCTGGGATCATGGCTATTAAGCAGTTTGATCAGGAACAGTAGGCCTTGCCTCCAATTATATAGCTGAGCTAGAGGTGGTTTGTTGGTGTGTCTCTTACATATCTAAATTTTGGCCGTTTACTTTCTCCAAGTTGTTGAGTCTGGCCAAAGGCACAATAGCAATTTTGGGGTATCTCGGGTATCTCAAAGTCTGAAGGCACCATCAGGTTGCTGATGCACTTGCCTCACAGGTATAGATTGACCTGCTGGTGGCACCATACCCTGGGGTCCTTTTATTTAACATAGTACTGGAATCCTAATTAAGGCAAAAAAATGATGCTAAAAGTATCTAAGTATAGAAGGAATATGTAAAATTCTATTTAGAACTGACACAAAATTAAGTCAAAAGGAAAACCCTCATACCAAAAAATCCTATCAGATTAAGTGAATTGAGTAAAATTGCAAGGTAAAAAATCAATATACAAATATTTGCTGCATATATATAGATGTAAGTGATGTATATATGTAACTGATGTATATATAGAAGCAATAAAATTATAGGAAGATAAAATAAGAAATTTATTAAAAATTTATTTTAATGCATTTGTAACTGCATTAAAAATAAAATACCTAATAATAAATTTAACCAGGGAGATAGCACTGCACTGTAGCACTGTCCTCCCATTGTTCAACGATTTGCTTGAGCTGGTACCAGTAACATCTCACAACAAATTGTGAGACTTTATTGTTATTGTTTTTGGCATATTGAATATGTCACAGGTAGCTTGCCAGGCTTTGCCATGTGGGCTGGATACTCTCGGTAGCTTGCCAGGATCTCTGAGGGGATGGAGAAATCAAACCCGGGTCGGCCATGTGCAAGGCAAATGCCCTACTTGCTGTACTATCGCTCCAGTTTCAACCAGGGTGATAAAAACATAAATTTTAAAAACTATGATATTGATAAACAGAAATTTAAGAAAACATTATAAATGAGAAATTATTTAATTTCTTCTAGCCTTGTATAAGGGCTAGAAGACTGAATGTCCTCCAGATGTTGCCATTACCAAACACAATCTGCAGATACAATAAAAAAAAGAACAATAAATTAACAAATACACAAGGAGGTGAGATTTATTCCAAACATATAGGAATGCTTCAACATTTCAAAATAAATCCATATAATACATCAAGTAAACAGACTGATAAGGAAAATAATATTTAATATAATTATATGGAGAAATATCATATTGCAAACCCAACACCTACTCACAACAAAAGTAATCAGTGAGTTAGAAATAGAATATAACTTCATCAATTTAATAAAGAGCATCTATATGACATTGGTATCAGGCATTATATTTATTGGTGAGAAATCAGGTGTTTTCATGTTAAGATCAAGAACAGATACAGATTTCTCCTCTCACCCTCATCACTACTTTTAAAAATTAATCTAGAAGCCCTGGCTAGCAGGGTAAGATGAGTAATATAAATGAATATAACACACATTAGAAAGAAGTATTGAAATTATCTTTACAAAGAAGATAATATGATTTCTCCTTAGAAATTTAGAAATAAGAGAATGAATACTTATAAACTTCCTTAAACTATTAGGTGATTACAGCAAGTTTATAAGGTAGAGTTTAATTTTAAATAGATAAATGCTTTCTTATAAGAACTAGCAATAAAAAATCAAAATTTGAAATAAAAGACAGTAAAGCAAATTACTACCAAAAATGTAAAATTCTCATGTATAAGTTCTAAGAAAATATTATTTATTCTACTTGAAGAAAATATAAAATTCTGATCATAGAAGTTAAAGTATTTAAATAAATGGAAATATACTGTGACACATTTAATATTGTCAAGATGTTTGATATTTATAATTTGATAGTATCAATGTGTTCTAATCAAAATTATGATTTTATAGTTATCATCAAACTTTTTTACTAACTTCACAAGAGAAGATAATAGGTCACACAATACTGAAAGGTAGGAACAATGTCAAAAGACTGACCTTACTCACCATTAATAGCTACAAGTGCAGTAATCAAGATAGTATGGCACTGGCAAAAGAACTGATCAATGAACCCAGAAATAGAACCACCCAAACACAGTCAAATGTTCATTAACAAAGGAACAAAGCAATTGATGGACAAAGAAGTCTTTTCAACAAACAGTTCTAAAACCACTGGTGTATAAAGTAAGAAATTTTACATCTAAGTCTTTATGAAACTACAAGGGTCTTTTTCAAATAAGCATAAGATAAAAGAGCATAGATTCAGAGCCAATACATTTTCTCATAAATTTCTACCTTTATTTTCGTGGGTTAAGAGAGATGCCATTTACTAAAAAGATGTATTCGATATGCCAAACACAGTAACAACAAAGTCTCCAATGGAGACATTACTGGGCCCGCTCGAGCAAATTAATATTCATATCTAATATTTAGTAATTTAGTATAATGATTTTATTTCATTTTTACAAAATGGTGCAATTTGATACTAATAACATATTAATCAAATTTTCTTTAAAGAGAAGAAAATTTCCAGTAAATTTGTGTTCATGAAAATTGAATCTATTTATATGACTTTTAAGAGATAATATTTAACCATTCATTCCCTGTGACTAATGATATATTTGCTCAATTAATAAAGACAAATCTTGAGAGCTTTATGTACAATAAATTACATTTGTGAAATCTACTTGGGTTTATTTTGTTGTTTTTGTTCAATTTTATATGTCAATGGAACAATAAACCAAAATCAGGTTAAGAGATTCTGGAAACAATGACTATTTGACATTAAAAATAGCAAGTTTCATAAGAAACTTAGTTTGTGTCATTAATCCTTATGAAGGACATAAAAATCAGATCTTTTAATTCATCATACGTAAAGATAAACTACAGGCAGATTAAAGATTTGGGTATTAAAATTTATTTTAAGTGTCAATCTAGGGAGCAGAGTGATTATACAGTGGGTGGAGTGCTTGCCTTACATGTAGCCAACCTGGGTTTGATCTCCAGCACCTCATAAAGTCTCCTCAGCACTGCCAGGAGTAATTCCTGATTGCAGAGACAGAAGTAACCCTGGAGTATTGTGGGTGGCCAGCCCCCCAAAAACCCAAACCACTAATATGTTAACTTAAAGGAATATTGAGTGTGTGTAATATGCCATATTATATATTAATGATTAAAGATTAAAGATTAAAGGCCCTCCTGTTGATCATCGATTTGCTCGAACGGGCCCAGTGACGTCTCCTTTGGAGACTTTGTTGTTACTGTGTCTGGCATATCGAATACTCTTGGTAGCTTGCCGGGCTCTCCGAGAGGGGTGGAGGAATCGAACTCGGGTCGGCCAGTTGGCTGCGTGCAAGGCAGACGCCCTACCCGCTGTGCTATCGTTCCAGCCCAAATTATAAACATTATATATAGAGACTTGGAATTATAAATTATAAATATTATATATAATTATATATAAAATTATAAATTATAAAATTATATAAAATTATAAATATTATATATAGAGACTTGGAATAAAGTCGTTATCCATTACCACAAAACTACTCTAAATATTAGTGGTTTCAAAGAGGAATTTATTACTTCACAATTTATTACTTTCACTAACGGGTATTGTTGAGTTCTCTCATGTGGTGATAGTGAATGGGCAAGAGTTTTGTGAAGGTTTGACATGATTGGATATCACAGATGGTTCATACATGGATAGCAGCCAACTGATTGGGACTTTGGAAAGGAACTCAGTAGAAACTATCTCTAGAATGTTTACAGATGGCACTTCCTTATGGCTTGGGATTCTCAGAACCTGGTATTGGGATCTGATAATGTCTAAAGTGATAATATCCCAAAAGATTCATTCTGTAACCTAGCCATAAAATTCCACTTAAGTAATCAAACCCAAGCACAAAAAATTGTAAATCTACAACTGTACCTCATGGTGTTTCACTAATAAAAAAAATTTTTAAAAAAATTCCACTTAAGTT